TTAAAGCTATTTATGTTAGCACGAAAAGCTGCGTAGATAAGGAGGCAAAATTAGTTGGTCTGGGTGGTGAACAAAGGCATGAAAAAGTACCTCTTGGCAATGCCATGTTGGCATGTCACAAAGAGAAGTGGAGAAGAAATTTGTTATATTTAGAATCCGCCATTGATATCTCCAAAGATAGCAGCCTACTGATAAAGCGACAACGATTGCTACTTTGGGCCAATTGGTAATAACAAGTGAATCCAAGTCCTTCTCCTTACGGAGGCTCTGAATGTTCTCCTCGATTTATTACCGATAGATAGGAGTCATATTGCGGGCATTAAGTTACTGGTGTAAAAACACTGCCCGCCGACTATATTAAACCAAACACCTGAATCAACCACAAACCCATCACGAAATTCCCTGCGTCACAGTGTCTGTATGGACATGGCTTTCGATATAGATGGATCCAAAACAAATGCGGGGTATATGCAAAAATGTACATTGATCAACCCAATCTGAAGCTATCTTTTGGTTGATTTAAGTGGTAGTCATACTATTGCGAGAATGCAGGTTAACATTGTCTCAAATAGCCACCAGGTGCCCTCCTTTTCCTCAGCGAGGTCGCATTTTGTTGAGGACTATAGACGAGAGTTAGTCTCAATTTCTGAAAATCTCAAAGTACCCTAATAAGGGGCCCAAGACGTAAGAACAAATACCAGAATTAAAGAGCGGATGCACTAGCGAATTGCGAGTGGACATTGATGCCCCGCTTAGTGAATCAAAAGCATAATTATCTTAAACTAACTATAATCAGAGGTTTAACTGTGGAGGACCCACTTAAAATCAGAGCTATTTTAGGAATGAGCCCGAAAATTACCTTCAAGGCACTGGGCAGTGGGTGTGCTCGCCGAAAGGTTCGATAAACATTTCAGCTGGTTCTACAAGAGTGAGACTAATTGTATTTGGTCTACCATTCCTGCAGAATATTTCAAAATGTAACGACCAAGTGGCTGTAGGTTTGCTGGAACTTTGAGTTTCAAAATGGCTACATATTTTTCTTTGCATGTCACCAGTGTGACATACAACTGTAACCTACCGGCTATGTAGCATTCAAGACAAAATTTTCCAGATGAAGGTAAAGGTTTCGAGATTTTCTAGGCTTTCTAGTACGCTTGGGAAGCTTTTGAACTAGAGAACGTTCGTTCATTAAAGTGAACTAGACTTTTTTGTGCCCACACTCTAATAAAAATGGAAATACAATTTTAAAACACCTATGGGAACTCGTTTTTCGTTGTAAGGGCATAGAGAGACAACTGATGGGAATTCACGCTAAATCCAACTCTACTTTATAGTCTTTTTTTGTTTAAGAGAATGCCGCTATTTGTATTTTTCTGAAAACGTAAATGTTATAGCTTTTTATTCAATTTGATTCCACCTTATTATCTATTTCGAACGATGGGCCGCACGAATGATTCGTCTGCAAACGTCGTCGTTCTTCCTTGCAATTTTATAACTCTTCCGTTCGTCCTTGCCTTAGATTAGCTTAGGTTGGTGTAGCAGTCGCTGCAGATAACCAATTCACTTAAAGGTTGAAGGTAGGTGCATTGGGGTACCACTGCAGAACACGGGAACCTCAGTGACGATTCTTCAGAGAATCATTTTGTTATTCTTACAAAGCGTAGAATTGGTTTTATTCCTACGCATGATAATTCCATTGGAGTGCTAAAGAAGGTCCTACCTAAAAAGCCTGCTCAGCTCTTGGCCAAAGCTGGGCAACTACTGAAGCAGTGCTCTACGGTTTTATCCTCTTCCTGATCTCTGCAACTTCTGCAAAATTCGTGGGAAAATATTCCTAGTCTTGAAGAGTACCTGCCACGTAGCCAATGACTGGTTACACAAGCCGTGACTATCGCAATATCCTCTCCTTAGAGGCTGAGCAGGTCTTTCATCCTTTTCTTATCAATTTGTGGCCAAAGTAGCCTGGTTGTTCTACAAGTGCTCTCCTCTAGCCATGACCTGTCGGCCTCTTGGGTCATGCTATTTCTAATTTGTAATTTGCAGGTTTCCATGGGTATCCCAATAGTGCCTCTGTTTTCACATAGGGGAGATTGACTCCCGGTCAAACCTCACCTACCTTGCTGACGGCTAATCTATAGAGCTGGGCTGACCTATGGTCCTCGCACACGATAAGATTTGCTCCACCCTGATACCGCCCGTAATCTTGGCAGAGAGGAGGAGGTCCAGGGCTATCCTCTAGGACTTGGAGGTAGATTTCGGCCATCACTTCCTCTAGGTATCTCCATTTCTCTTTGGGGACAGTCCATTCCTCCCCCCCTCTGTCGATTTTGGCCAGTACCTCTCCGCCTCCCTTTACTCCATCCCTGAATGAAGGGTATTTATGGCCGCCCGTTTTCGGTCTTTTTCGCAACCCTATCCCCTGCCTGTTCAGCAGATCGCTGCCTTTTGGGGCAGTGCCTGCCGGTTTGCCCAGCTGGCTGCTACTCGCCTCGCCCACTCCAACGACCTAACCTATTCCTCAGTCAGCTGCTCTAACGGTAGGTCCACGATCCTAGCCACGACCCTAGTGGCCGCCTTTTTATCATGGTAGGCTTGCTTCGAGGAACGAATATGTTTAGCCGTCCCCCCGACGTGTGGTTGCAACATTCCTTGAGCTACAGGGTATATCAGCAGCATCGTGCCGGTTTAGCCTTGAAGCAGGTGCTGCTCCGCGCACTTGGGTTGAGGTGTGGTTGCTTTGGGGCTTAATTGGAGCTGACGGCGCATCTCCAGCCGTGAAACGGTTTGCCCAGGCCTCCACTCTCCCCCCCCCCCCCCCCCCCC